AAGAAAAGGAAAAATAACAGATGGTTTCACTCATAGCAGGAGTATAAAGGACCAGGCGAGAAAATAATAATAATAATGAACAACTATATACCAGAGACATTTTACAGGGCTGGAGTGGGGAAGGGGATCAAAATGGAGGGCGGGGGTGGGGGGATATGTAGTGCCCTGGACTATGGTGATGGCATGCGGGTGACTCGGTGCTGGGAAACCCATGGGGATTACAACTGAGATGGAAAAAGGCACAAAATGATGTAAAAATAAACTATTATATTGTTTTTTAAAATCATGTTCCTTCCAAAGAGTCCCTTATGCTAATTAGTGATATAGCTCCACCTTGATGGTGGCTGAGGAGATCTTGTCATCTCTAAATCCCTTCTCAGAGAAAAATTTTAAGGACATTTCTTTCTGTGCTTTTTAAGAGAATGCTCCTGTGTATAGCTCTTTTGGAACTCGTGAGAATCTTTTAGGAATCTTGATATTGTCCGCTCTAACATGTATTTAGTGAAGTTTATTGCTTAGAAATTTCTGGCCCTCTTGCCTTTCCTGAGTCCCTCTCATGCTATGAGACCAAACTTCAGGGTTTAGCCCCAATTCAAAAAGTTTTGTCAGCAGGAAGAGTTGGTAGTGGGGAGAGGGATAGGTGTCAGGGAGCATGATTGGAAGTCATGAAAAGAAAGACAACAGAAAGGAACGCTTCTCTTGACCACTTTTCCCTCCATATAGCTAAAAAGATCCCTACATACTGCAACTACCACTTACAAAAGGGGCCCTTCCTGGTGGCGCAATGGGTTAGAATGCAGCACTGTAAGCCAGCTGCAGCCGTCTCAGTGCAAATTCGATGCCCGGGCCAGGAGGTGATCCATATGGTGCGGCAGACCCCTCCTGTCTCGCCCGCTGCTCCCCTCAGCAGTGTGCTTCGTTGATTTGCCTGTCTGCTACCCACTCTGTCTCTGGTGAATCCTCTCACCGCCCCTGCATCTCTGGCTTGTACCCCAGTTCTATGTGCATAAGTAAATAAATCCTTAACAAAAAATGGATTTTTAGGTTAATACAGTCACAACATTTCATAGAAGAAATGAAAAATGACACATTTGCAGGACTTCTGTAACAGCTAACATTCATTTCTGATGTCAAGGCACAGGTATACCTCAGAAATTTCACAGGTTTGTTTCCCGACCACCTCCATAAAGCTATGCCACAAGAAGGTGAATTTTTTGTTCTTCTGGGGTGTATGTTTATACTGTACTGTAGTCTATTAAGTATAATATATGTGATAGCATTATATGAAAGAAAAAATGTGTACACCTTAATTTAAAAATACTCTATTCCCATAAAAAAAATGCCAACCATCATCTGAGGCTTCATCAAGTCATAACCTTTTTGCTGGGGAGGGTCTTGCCTCAGTGGCTACTGGCTAGTCAGACTGGTGGTTGCTGAAGCTTGGGGAGGTTGTGGCAATTTCTTAAAGACAATGATGAAATTTGCCATGTCGGT